TCTTGGAATGAGAAAACTTTTTGGTCGATTCATACCTCATCACCTGACTCAAGCCAACCTTGACCGCCGAGTCGACGATTCGATTACTCTTCTCACTCTCCACGCGGGCGATCGATGGCTGGACCGGCTAATAACCGGAGATGAGAAGTGGGTCTTCTACGATAATCACCACAGGAAATCCCAGTGGGTTGGAGAAGGAGAGAGCCCACAGGATGTCCCCAAACCCGACCTTCATCCGAAAAAAGTTATGCTCTCTGTGTGGTGGGGAGTGGACGGCCCCATCTACTGGGAACTTCTGCCCGAGGGCAAAACAATAACTGGAGACCTCTACACTACTCAACTACGAAACCTCAAGAAAGCAGTCGACCGTTCGGCCCTGAAAGACAAGAAAGTGTACTATCAACATGATAACGCTCGCCCACATGTTTCGAAACAAGTGAAGCAGGAGCTGATGGGATATGGATGGAATGTTCTCCCTCACCCCCCGTATTCTCCTGATCTTGCTCCTTCCGACTATTGGTTATTTGGCGATATGACACGTGCCTTCGAAGGAAGAAGCTTCAATTCCCGTGGAGCGGTCGAAGCGGCACTCAAACAATACTTTGCCTCACGCCCGGCTGGATTCTACCGCAATGGAATCCATAAATTGAGGGAACGTTGGAGACATGTTGTTGATAATGATGGACAATATAATTAATTATTCGGTTATTTTTTCTTTGAGAAATAAACTATTGAAAAAGTGACAAAGACTTTCCCGCCAACCTAATAGCTTCGTTCTTTAGAAAAGGAACAAATAAGTAGTTAGACAAAAAAAATCCAAAAAGAAGGTTAGAATATGCAACAAAAAATACAGGAAGCGAGAAGAGACGCAGAGAAGCGAGAGCGCTCTCGCTTCTCTGCGTCTCTCTGCGGCATGATATGGAAATTTGCTGGAATTCTAGAAAAAAAAATGACGTCTGGAAAAGAAGTCCGAGAACAATGGGACTTTGCTAGAACGCAGCAAAATGAGTCGAGACTAGTGAAGCATGAAACATTTTTCTTCCACTCATGAATTATTTTTATCTCTTTGTTTCAAATTTACATCCTGAATTTTCTTTTATACAAAAAAAATTATATATCCTAGATCTCTTATTCTCAGAAGTTTGGAAACTCGAAGAAATCTCAGACGAAGAAAACAGGAAGCGGTCAAAATGAGACGAAAAGAAAAAAAAAACTGAAGATCAGTTATCTAATGTTACAACATTAAAGCGGGAAGTATATAGTGAAGAGGGTTTTTTGATCGAATTTAATTTGATTTGGATTTAGGATGTGTAACATCCATCGGGAGGAAAAAAATTAGGTGGGATGCAATGGATGATAAATAAATAGTGCAAACGACAGGAAAAGATACAAATTTGCAGCTTTAACGAAATATAATTTTTAAAAATCTGAAATCATCGCAATTTTTAGTTGTTGATTCTGTACGAAACGTTTCTAAAAGTTTGAAAAAGAAGTTGAAAAAAAGATTGACCCAAAAAAGTGGGACCACTAAAACCGTCAACTGTGAGCTCAGTTATCTCGATTCCTGTGAAAAATAACAAAATTTTTTCAATTAATAAATTATTTATCATTATATCTCCAATATTTTATCAGTTGACATATTTTTTATATCTTCCTCAGGAACCGAGATAATTGAGCTCAAAGTTAACGAGTTGGTTGGCTTCTATTAGAGAGAATACGGTAATCGTTTGGCTCTTTTCTAGTTTAGAGGTCCGAAAAAAGATTAGAGGTCCCAAAAAAATTTTGGAGGTCCCAAGAAAAAATAGAGGTCCGAGATTTGTAAAACGCACAGATATTGGAACAGTGTAACAGAATTTGAATTGTGTAAGAAAATAAAACTCTGTGGTCTTATTTAAAAAAAATAAGTGCTGATGATATATTTTATACTTCTAACGGGCTTAGGGATGCATATTTTTTGAAAATTATCTAAGCCTGAGAGAAAGCTTATTCACGGAGGCATTCCTGTTTGCCGACATTTTGCTTACATGTAAAATGGGGTCCATAAAAAAGACAAAAAAGAAATGGAGTCAAAACTATCAGGAGAAGTCACATTTCCGCTCTTATCCTCCTAGAGAGCCTCAAAACTCCAAATTCTGGCACATTATTCTAATACCTGCGCGTTTTTCAAATATCGGACCTCTATTTTTTCTTGGGACTTCTAAACTTTTTTGACACCTCTAAATTTTTTTCGGACCTCTAAACTAGAAAAGAGCCAATCGTTTTTGGCTCTTTACTGTCAATTCTGTGCCGGTTTTTTTTTTTGCAGAAATATTTTTGCCGAAAAAAGGGCAAATTAGTAATTTTATGATAAACATTTTATCAGTTGACAACTTTTTGATATCTTCTACAGGAACCGAGATATATAGACTCAAAGTTGACGGCACAGGGCGTGGCGCTTATTAGAGTGTTTACGGTGGTTGGTGTCAAAGTTTAGGCCTTCCCTATAGAAATATGTGATTGATACAGATGAAATATGTCCAAAAATTCAAAAAATAACCATAAACCCCCAAAAACTACATTTCCAGATATCTGATTCAAAATAATCCTGACATTGCTCTTCCTTTTAAAAAATCCAAAAAGTTTTTTTTTCGTATTTTTAAAAATCTTTCCCCGCTACTAAATCCGAATCATGCTTATCTAAAAGACGATTTTGCTACTAGTCACCCTTTTTCTGCAATAAAAATTTGTTTTTTCCTCAGTTGCCATCCTATTTTTATAGTAATATGGAAAATTAAAGAGCGACTACAACTAAATTAACCTCTAGAAGAAGGATGGGACCTCTAGACTTGTGAATATGCGTCTTGGAAAACAAAAGAGATAACAAGAGAATGAGTCAGGATCCTTCTTCTTCTTTTTCTTCTTTTCAAATTCTTCTCCTTTTCCTTCCATTAGGCCTTTCCCATTTTTTGGGTGGAAAAAGGAAAAGTTTAATGAAAGAAGACAATGATGACGTTGGAACAAAACAAATCAACGTCGTCATTCATTTTATCATAAGAAAGGAGGAAAAAATATGGCAACATTTTTAGGAAAAAAGAGTCTAGGAAAAATGGATTTCCAAGAATCCTGTCACTTCCAGAATCCCTACTGAAAGCGGTGGCGAAGAGTCTCGACCATAAATCGAACTAAAAAAAGAGGAGCAGCTCCAAAATGAGGGAAAGATAAACGAATTATGACGGAAAATGAGCATAAAAGAGAATATAAGAGAGGAGGAACAAATTGACCGGCCACTTCTTTTTTTGGGGGACAAATTAGTTATGAGTAGAGGAGACGAGACAAATAATGTGTCTGAAAATTACTTTAGACAAGAGGAAATTGGGTCAAGGGCACAGCGCTTATAGGCAAGGGATCAGGGACCATGAGAATGAATGCCTGCTTAGAGGAGGAGAGGACAACAAACTCAATATACCGATTAGAATAAATTGAGGATCTGAGGAATGAAAGAAATTTGAAACCAGTTTGTTTTCTGAAAATCGCAGAGTTCAGGCTCCAGAGAAATGTAGGACACCAAGAATGGGCGGGACTGGACGTGCCGGAGATGAAAAGTTCTGCTTGATTTTTTGATCTCATTCAGAGGAAATTGTAAAAATTGTAGAAAAATAAAAGCTCTTTTTTATAGTTGACCTAAAAGAAAGCTATCGTACGTATTAACAGAACGCCCCCAAGGCGTTAGCTATGAGACCAGAAGTCTCATTTTCTGTAAAAGATATAAAAGAGGTCGACTGATAAAATGATTACCATAATATCGAAAATATTTTATCAGTTAGCAATATTTTGATGTCTTTCAGATACATGGAGATAATTGAGCTCAAAGTGGACAGTTCGGATGAGCTTCCATTATAGGAAGTATGGTATAGCCTTGGCAGCCAAATTTCAAAATTAAAAATAAGAAAAATTAATTAACTAGTACTGTATGTAACTGCAAGGGCCTAGAAAACCTCTATGTATTCGTTTCTAACCTTCTTGAGATAAGTTTTTCAGTAATCAATTTTCCAGAAAATAACAGATTATTTTTGCACATTCTCTCTAAAAATTAATTAATTGACACAACGAAAGCTAACCAAGTTTCGAACAAAGAAACTGAGAAAAATTGATTCACAGTAAGGAGTAAGGAAGCCCTACTATTACCGGTTTTACGGTAATTGACACAAGAAAAACAAATTAAGTTTTGAACGAAGTTTCGAAAGCTTCAACAAACAATTCAGGAAAAAACCTATCGATACTCTGGAACCCAGACGTTGACATTTTCAAAACACCTGTTTCTCATAACCGATAAAGTTCAAGTGGGATCAGCAAAAATTTCTTCCGGGATTTACAACAAAAAAACCAGAAAAGATTCAAAATGCAACAGTAAGGTTTATAAAGGATTTCTACCGGGGAAAATAAAACTAGGTATACATATTCCTGGTATAATACCTTTCCAGAAAGCTTTCAAAAATATCTAGAAATACTTCCATTTTTCTGTTTATGAGGATCTTCTTTTTTTTTTACACATCATCATCATTCCCCACCCTGCTTCATTTTTCAATATTTGTTTGAACTTTTATGGTAACACTTCCTAGTAATACCCCCTTTTTTCTAGAAGGAAACCTCCCAGAATCCTCTTCATCTTGTGTAAACAAAAACTAAAAGAAGGATCTTTGGGAGACTCAAAACATAAAACCAAAGCAATGAAAAAAGTTTTAGGTCGTGGCACCAAAAATATATTTGCAATAAGTTTTTTTTCAAAATTCCTGGAATCCAAATCAGAATTCTCTAACTTCAAGGAATTCTCACGACTGCATACGTGATAAGGAAACGGGATTTTTTTGAGTAATCTGGAAAAAAAATCTGAAAAAAGAAATTGGAAAGCGTGGAAAAAATCGTGAACATCAAAAAAAGAAAAATTCACATAAAAGGTTTTTCTTGAAGAAAGGTTCAAATTCTGTATTTCAATATTTTTAGCCTCGTCTGGAAATTAAACAATGAACTATCTCATAATTGAACGTACGATCCAAAATTTTGATAATTTATTAGATTTCACTTTCTTTTCACTGGCTGGCCGAATTCGTTCATTTACGCGTCAAGTGTTTGCGTACGCAGCATTGAAGTTTAAAAAATCAAAAAATTCTTCGTGCGTCGTAAAATAAAATGCAGCGTACGCAAACACTCTCTGACACGTTGGCGGGTAACTGCACGAAATTGGTCGGTGGTCGGTAGGCGGTTAGTAGGCGGTTGGTAGGCGGTTGGTAGGTGGTTGGTAATGCGGTCGGTAGGCGGTCGGTTGTCGGTCAGTCGGCTATCGGTAGGCGATTGGTAGACGGTCGGTAGCTGCTCGGTCGGTGGACGGTCGGCGGTCGCTGATTTTCGAACGACTGAAATGAAACGTTTCATAGAGTACTCTTCGTACAGTTAAATGTCCAAAATCATCCCAAATAGATTAGACCTGAATCTCTGAACCTCCAATTATTTTTTTCCAGTAGCACACCTGATCTTGGTATTCATTCTTCCTATCTACACCATAATTGCATGCTCGTGCAACACACGAGCTCGACAACAAGCTCATTTAGAAAATCGTCAGGTACCGTTTCAAATTTCAGACAGTCATCTAAATCTCCAAATTACAGGCCCTCCGCGAACGTCAACGTCAGGCGGTTTTGTCTGGAAAAAGTGTTCGAAGTGTGATAGAAACCGAAATTGAGAGTGAGACAACGCAATGTCCCACGTGGGCTTGTGTTGGCAGATTGGCTCCGAGACTCAAGAGTCAGAATGAAACAACATACAAACGAATCGATCAAATCGATCAGAATGAGAAGGAGAAGCCACCATTCCAGGTCATTGTTGATTCTACGTCGAGTAAGACTATGAAGAGTGTGAAAACGAACGGAGGAAGTGTCAAGTATTCGGATATTGTGTCGAATGGTAGAGAGGGTAAAGACTGATAAGGAAACAGAAACTTTTTTTCAGATTTCGATGTATCTGCCAACTCTTCCCGTTCCTATGTGAGCTCCATGGCATAGATGAACTCTTTTTTGTGTCGAATAAATTTTTTATCGATTTTTTAAATCCTCAACATCCCTCCTGAACAGGGGTGGGCGAGAACGGGCGAAAAACCTTCACGTTTTGCAAATTTTCCTCTCTCGAAATAGGAAGTGTTGAGTAAAGGCGCACACGCAATTTTGTCGATGGGTCTCGACACGAAAAAACGAAAAGAATTTAATTTGAATTTTTAAAGATTTTAAAAATATAATTGATTGTTTTCTTCCTTTTTCATGCGTTTTGCATCATTTTTCACATAGAATTTGTCGAATTTCGCTAGAATATATTGTTTTTTGAGGTTTTTTTAATCAAAATTACCCTTTTTTCAGGTAATCGAGCCAAAATTCGGATAACTTTGATTTTAATTAAAAATTTTAATAATTAGTAATTTATTATCAATAATTTTGATTAATTACTTTGAAAAACGATATATTCTAGCGAAATTCAACGAATTTTATGTTTAAAAAATTATGCAAAACACATGGAAAAGGAAGTAAACGAAAAATGTTATTTAAAATATCTTTTAAAATCCAAATTGAATTTTTAAGGCCGTTTTCATTTTTTCGTGTCGAGACCCATCGACGAAATTGCCTGTGCGCCTTTACTCTACACTTCACGTGTGTTTTGCAAAATGTGTATTTTGCAAAACCCGTGAAAGCCCATTGCTCGCCCAGCCCTGCTCCTGAAATAAATTTTCTGGAAAACTACTAAGGACTACTGTAATTATTGGATTCATTTTTCAAAAATAAAGAACTAAGGATTATTGTAGTTTTCGATTTTTTAATTAAAAATTGAGGGAAGAAGGATTACTGTAGTTTTTTGATTCATTTTTGAAAATCGAAGAAACAAGGATGACTGTTGTTTTCGTGTCTATTTCAAAGTAATTGGCGAAATAAAGAATTCTATAGTTTTGAATATATTTTTTAACATCAAAGAAAATTGGGATTACTGTAGATTTTGAGTTAATTTTTAAAAATTGACGAATTAAGGGTTACTGTAGTTTCCCCATTCATTTTTGAACTGAATAAATAAGGATTAATGTAGTTTGCGAATTCAATTGGGAAAATTGAAAAACAACGGATTGCTGTAGATTTTGGATCAGTTTTTCTAGAAGAAATAAGGAATACTGTAGTTTTCGAATTCACTGCTTATAATTGAAAGAAGATGGATTACTGTAGTTTTAGAATTCTTTGTTAGAAAATGAAAAAGTTAAGATTACTGTAGTTTTCGCATTAAATGTCAAAATTTGAAAAAATAAGGATTTCTGTAGTTGTTGGTTTCTTTTTTAATGGAAGAATTAACGATTCCTGCAGTTTTCGGTTTGATTTTAAAAATCGAAAACATAAGGTTCACAGTAGCTTTTAAACGAATTTTCAAAAATTGACAAAATAAGGAATTTTTGGATTCGTTTTTAAACATCGAAATGATGAGGACTACTGTAGTTTTTGAATTCACTTTCGGAAATCTAAAAAATTATGATTACTTTAGTTTTCGAATTAAAATTTGGAAATTGAAAAAATAATGGTTACTGTAGTTTTCCAATCAATTTTCGAAAAGCTTTAAAAAAGCAGGTCACTGTAGTTTTCGAATTCAATTTCAAAAATCAAAAACAACGCCTATTTGTTGACAGAAGGTGACAAAAAATCAGATTGCTATTCTCGAAAATTCCCATCAGATTTTTCATTTCTTGAATATTTTTCCCATCGAAATAAATAAAAAATCAGAAAAAATTCAGAGCGAAAACTTCAAAATTCCAAAATTTTTTGTTCTGTCACAAACTATGATTTTTTGCGGTCTATGAGTCTGTGACTCTATTCACAATCCATTTTTTCATTTGTTGCTTTTGAGCTCTTCAAAGTAGACTGCATATTTTGTATACTTTCCAGTAGAGATCAAAAGTTTATCTTTTCCCATCCATTTATCCAAAAAGCAACCCATAATTCCAATTTTTCGAAACAAGATGAACCCATTTTTTCCAAAAAGCGCCGCGGCGATTAGTAGTCAAAAAAAGGGGTCCTACAACTGAAAATTACCGCTCCCCGGGGAACATTTGAGACTGATTCCAAAATAACAGAGCCTTCGTACTCGTCATTCTCTGTTAAATTGAGTTGTGTACTCAAATGAGATGCTCAAGAAAATATGAGATTTATAATTGGGACATATTCCGGTGTCTATCCATATATTTTTCTATTCTTTTCCCTTTCAAAATCCCTAGAATTATCTTTCGTCCCATACATAGATCCTTGGATTCTTGATTCAACTTTTCTCCATGATTCAGACCTTCGTGACTACATCCTATTAATTTTATAGATATATGCCAATTTATATGTATACTTTTTAACAAATTGCATATTCATGTGGGCGTCTTCTTGACCTCGTTTTTGCTGAAACCGATAATTTATGTTCGTCATTCTTTTTGGAATTTAGTAACGTTCTCATTGAACCCTTTGCAGACCATAGTGCAATAGAAAAATCCTTTGAAACCTTCTAGACCATTCTAAAATAAGGACTCCAATAGGAAATTCGTCCGACCGATAAATCGCCAACCGGTGAACTCGTGCAACACGCCAAAGAGTGTTTGCGTACGCAGCATTTTATTTTAAGACGTGGATTCCGTCAGCAGTCGGCCGGCGAAGGTTGGCGATCGAAAGCCGGTCGGCGGTCAGTCGGCGGTCGCCGATTTGTTCATTTACGTGTATTCGAAAATTCAAGAATTTGGAAATTCAGAAATTTTAAAGTACCAAAATTCAGAAATTCTGGAAATCCACATTTCAGAAATTCAGAAATTCAGAAAAAATCGAAATTTTCAGATCTTCTGACGGTAATCTTGGTCGGCGGTCGGTCGGCGGTCGCCGATTGACCGCCTGAAATGTAAGCTAGACATTATAACAGTACATAAACCACACATTTTTAGAATCTTCTAGACTAGTCTAAAAACTCTAATGGTCTGACACCCTGAAAATGACAGCTATTATAAAAATCCGACACTAGTACTCAGATTCAATTTTTTCCTTTTTTTTTTCATCCTCAAAAATTGAACCTTTCTGTTTACTTTCCAATATTTATCCTAAACTAAAAATCCAAACATTTGATCTCTGAAATCTTTCTGAAATCTATTTTTAGGTCGTACTCAAAATGAAGAGAAAAAAGCGGAAATTGAAAAATTTGCACGTCATTTTTTAGAAGGGAAAAGTTTAGATGTGTATGTATAAATAACAAATATTCAGATTTTGAATAGACCATAATTGGTCAAATTTAGGTCGAATCTCCCTTTTTGAAGTTGAGGGTGGCACAAAACACACATTTATTTTAAATCTCACATTCTGAATTTCAGAGTCTGGAATTCAGTGGACAACATTTTGATTAAAAAAAACGTTTTTGTGGATTTCGACAATTTTGACATGCAAAAATCCGATCATCGCACAGCTGGAATTGACTAAAAATCAAAAACCATTTTCGATTCAATTTTTTGCACATCCTGTATTTTCATTTGGTCCAGACTAGTTTTATTGACTATCCAAGTTTAGCTTTCAATTCAAAAATTCAACACTTCAAAAATTTAAAAATTCTGAAGTTCCGAAATTCTGAAGTTCCGAAATTCTGAAATTCTGAAATTCTGAAATTCTGAAATTCTGAAATTCTGAAATTCTGAAATTCTGAAATTCTGAAATTCCGAAATTCTGAAATTCTGAAATTCTGAAATTCTGAAATTCTGAAATTCTGAAATTCTGAAATTCTGAAATTCTAAAATTCTGAAATTCTGAAATTCTGAAATTCTGGAACTCTGGATTTCTGAAATTTTGGAGTTCTGAAAATCGGGAATTCTGAAAACCGGGAATTTGGAAATTCAGAAATAAGATGTTTGGGATTTCAGAAAATCGAAAATTTTCAAAAGAGCTTAAATATAATCACTGGCTAGCTCATTTCCGAAAACTATTTGAAAAAAGTCTAGTCTATTCTTCCCTAAATCCCCAAATTGTTACAATTTGTCTAGACAAAAAGTACCCATTTCCGTTCCTTTCCTCTTTTTTGTTTCCTATTTTTCAAAAAAAAAAACTTGAAGTTCCTTGGCTGATTATTCTCTAATCAACCAATGTTTGGTCCCTCACCCAAAGACAAATTGAGCCTCCCCCGCCTCATTTATTTTCAGCCTTTGCTCCTTCTTCTTCTTTCATTTGACGTCTAATCTCCAAATGACTCTTAAACGTCAGAATCCGTATTACTTGAAAGCGTTCAGATTTCTTGTATTTTGTTTCTTGCGTTCTAATTCCCAGAAAAGAGTATCTCATTACCCATTTATTTGCAAAGATCCCCATTTTCTTTCTCTCCTTATTATGCACATTTTCTAGTATAGAATCAGAGACTACTCAACTATACACACGTCGTGTCTTGAAACAATTGGACCACCAAACAACAGGGAAATTAAATAAACTATCCTAAATCTTCTGGTTTTTGTCCAACTATGTAGGTTTAGAGCCCTCGTCATTTGTTTTTGTCCATTATAAGGGTCCCACAGGTATTTTGATAATAGATCTTTTGGATTATGGAGAGTACAAGTTTACAGGATGGCGCAAAATTACTCTGAATGATAAAAACGGGTATATCTGCAGATATAAGTACTTTGAAAGCACGAAAACCAATTGGTAAAAATATGATTTTAAGTTTGATTCAAAGCTACTGAAATTTTTTCAGAGCAATCCCTCAAGGTAAGGTGTTGTTATGATTGTCTCAAGATGAACTCCGTAATATTTCAGTGATTTTCATGAGATGAAGCAAATTTGCCAAGCGATAACTCAGCCCAAAGTGGATCAAATGATTTGAAATTTGGCCAGTTTACAGATGAATTCTTGGAATTTTAGCAATCCAATATTGAGCTCAGTACAACGCTTTACAGAAATGTTATGCTAGCTCAAACTTGAGTCCGTGTAATAACGAGTAAGAACTAGGTTAGGTCGCGCCGAGGGCTCTCCAGATTGCTGGT